AAGAGAGAGAGAGAGAGAGAGAAAGAGAGAGAGAGAGAGAGAGAGAGAGAGAAAACAAAAAAAAAAAGAGAGAGAGGAGATTTCTAATCCTAATCAGATCATCACCTCGTAGTAGCAGCCAAATGTCGGTCACCCATCCCATAGTGAAATATCAACTAAGCATGAACCGGAATGTTACAATACACATGAATTTGACAATGAGAGATTGAAAGGCACATGCACATATAAGAACGAGCAACTAAGTACGACCGGAACACTATAACACACATGAACTTAACAATGAGAAACTTGAACTAGTAAAAAGCACATGCACACGTAGGAAGAAGCGACTAAGTATGAACCGAAACTCTCCCACACACACAAACTTTGACAATGAGAAAATTGGACTAGTGAAAAACTCATACACATGGAGGAGAGATGAACTAAGTGCGAACCGGAATATCACAACATACATGAACTTGACAATCAGAGGCTTGAACTAGTGGAAAGCACATGCACACAAAGGAGAGACCAACTAAGTATGAACCGGAACATCACAACACACATGAACTTGACAATGAGAAGATTAAACTCATGAAGGACACATGCATATGGAGGAAAGATCAACTAAGAGTGAACCGGAACATCACAACATACATGAACTTGACAATGAGATGCTTGAACTAGTGGAGAACACATGCACATAGAGGAGAGAACAACTAAGTATGAACCGGAACATCACAACACATATGAACTTGACAATGAGAATATTGAACTAATGAAAGACACATGCACATGGAGGAAAGATCAACTAAGTATGAAACGGAGCATCTCAACACACATAAACTCGACAATAAGAAGCTTGACCTAGTGGAAAGCACATGCACATAGAGGAGAGATCAACTAAGTATGAACTGGAACATTACGACACACATGAACTTGACAATGAGAAGTCAGACTAGTGAAAGACACATGCACATAGAGGAGAGATCAACTAGAATGAATCGGAACATCACAATGTACATAAACTTGATAATGAGAAGCTAGGAGTAGTGAAAAAGCATATGCACATGGAGGAAAGATAAACTAAGTATGAAACGGAACATCACAACATACATAAACTCGACAATGAGAAACTAGAACTAGTGAAGGAGACATGCACATGGAGGAAAGATCAACTAAGTATGAACCGGAACATCACAACATGCATGAACTTGACAATGAGAAGCTAGAACTAGTGAAGGAGACATGCACATGGAGGAAAGATCAACTAAGTATGAACCGGAACATCACAACATGCATAAACTTGTCAATGAGAAGCTAGAACTAGTGAAGGAGACATGCACATGGAGGAAAGATCAACTAAGTATGAACCGAAACAACACAACATACATGAAGTTGATAATGAGAAGATCAAACTAGTGAAGGACACATGCACTTGGGAGAAAGATCAACTAAGTAGGAAACGGAACATTACAACATACATGAACTTGACAATGAGATACTTGAACTAGTGAAGGACACATGCACATGGGGGAAAGATCGATTAAGCAGGAACCGGAGCATCACAACATACACGAACTTGATAATGAGATACTTGAACTAGTGAAGGACACATGCACATGGAGGAAAGATCAACTAAGTAGGAACTGGAACATCACAACATACACGAAATTGACAATGAGATACTTGAACTAGTGAAGGACATATGCACATGGAGGAAAGATCAACTAAGTAGGAACCGGAACATCACAACATACATGAACTTGACAATGAGACAATGAGAGGCTTGAACTAGTGGAAAGCACATGCACCTAGAGAAGAGAACAACTAAGTATGAACCGGAACATCACATCACTCATGAACTTGACAATAAGAAGCTTGAATTAGTGGAAAGCACATGCAAATAGAGGAGAGATAAACTAAGTATGAGCCAGAACATCACAACACACATGAACTTGACAATGAAAAGATTAAACACATGAAGGACACATGCATATGGAGGAAAGATCAACTAAGAGTGAACCAGAACATCACAACACACATAAACTTGACAATGGGAAGATTAAACTCATGAAGGACACATGCATATGGAGGAAAGATCAACTAAGAGTGAATCGGAACATCACAACATACATGAACTTGACAATGAGAGGTTTGCACTAGCGGAAAGCACATGCAAATAAAGGAGAGAACAACTAAGTATGAACCGGAACATCACAACACACATGAACTTGACAATGAAAAGATCAAAGTCATGAAGGACATATGCATATGGAGGAAAGATCAACTAAGAGTGAACCGGAACATCACAACACACATAAACTTGACAATGGGAAGATTAAACTCATGAAGGACACATGCATATGGAGGAAAGATCAACTAAGAGTGAACCGGAACATCACAACATACATGAACTTGACAATGAGAGGTTTGAACTAGTGGAAAGCACATGCACATAAAGGAGAGAACAACTAAGTATGAACCGGGACATCACAACACACATGAGCTTGACCATAAGAAGCTTGAACTAGTGGAAAACACATGCACATAGAGGAGAGATCAACTAAGTATGAACCGGAACATCATCATGTGAGAGTCGGGTCATGTATGTGAGTGAGACTTGCTCAAACACATGCTCATGGCTCATGTATGCAACCAAGTTTGAAATAACCTGCCATCATGTGAGAGTTGAGTCATGCGTGTGAGTGAGACTTACTCAAACACATGCTCATGGCTCATGTATGCAACCAAGTTTAAAACGAAATGTCTTTGTCTACCATGTGAGTGGAAGGCACAAGCTAGACCAGTCCCAAGACACAAGTCTTGAGCACGAAATCACTTATGGAAAATTCAGAGTATTCCCTACTAACATATGAGTGAAATCAAGGCTTTCATCAGACCAGATCGCAAGTATTGAGCATGAGGTCATCCCTTGAGGAATCGGAACCTCACCTACTAGCATAGGAGTGAAAAGCAAGTGTTAAAGTAACCCAAATCACAAGTAATGAGCATGAGACCATCCATAGAAGAATCGGCGCACTACCTACTAGTGTGTGAGTGAAAAACAAGAGTTTGAGTAGCCCAAATCACAAGTACCCAACATGGGATCATCCATATAAGAATCGGATCACTACCTACTAGTGTGTGAGTGAAAAATGAGAGTTTGAGTAGCCCAAATCACAAGTATCCAATCATGGGATCATCATAGAAGAATCGGAGCACTACCTACTAGTGTGTGAGGTGAAAAACAAGAGTTTGGGTAGCCCAAATCACAAGCATCCAACATGGGATCATCCATAGAAGAATCGGAGTACTACCTACTAGTGTGTGAGTGGAAAGCAAGAGTTTGGGTAGCCCAAATCACAAGTAATGAGCATGAGATCAACCATAAAAGAATCGGAATATCTACTACTAGTGTGTGAGTGAAATGCAAGAGTCCAAGTAGCCCAAATCACAAAGATTGAACATGAGATCATTCATAGAAGAATCGGAACATCTCCTANAATGCAAGAGTCCAAGTAGCCCAAATCACAAAGATTGAACATGAGATCATTCATAGAAGAATCGGAACATCTCCTACTAGTGTGTGAGTGAAATGTAAGAGTTACACTAGGCTATATCACAAGATTTGAGCAAAAGATCATCCATGGAAGAATCGGAAGATCTCCTACTAGCATGTGAGTGAAACGC